TTATATTTTGAGTGGAATGAAATTTACTGGTGGAAACGGCCAAAACACAGATTCTAATTATGATTGTGAAGAGTTGAAATTTGGGGAGATATGTAAGTTCTCCAATTTTTCGCAGTTTAGCAAATATGAGTAAATGACACTCAGTTGTTTAACATCTGTCTTTTTGTTGATACAGTTGTTATTCATGAAAATGTGGGACATTTCCAGGAATAAACGTTTGGAAAGGTGTTTTTCTTTATCAAGAACTTTGATACTTGTGTAATTCATAGAATGCCCTGTTGTGTTAACATGAGATGCTAGAGCGCATCTTTCAGGATGAAGCCTAGCATCACTTTTGTGTGATGTAATCCTTCCTTTAAGAGATCTGGAGGTCTGACCTATGTATATTTGGTTGCAGTTGTTGCAATTGATGGAGTAGACTGTGTTGGTTAAGCCAAGCAGCGGGACTTTGTCTTTCATTTTTGAAAAAATGCAGTTTATAGTGAGGACGGATTTGCAAGCAATTCGAAAGTTCAAAGGACTGCACAATCTGATCAGCTTAGGGGTCAGTTCCTTGATGTAGGGCAGGACAGCAAAACCAGGTCTGGAGTCCGGGTTGGTGCTAGTACTGTTAGGATTGATGTTATTATTGGGAATTACATCAGTTCCGTTATTAGGGGTTGTGCGACTATTACCTGCATCACCAGAGTTCGGCAAAATATTGGAAGGTGAACTAAAAATGATCTTGTTAATCAGACACTTCGGATAACCATTATTGATGAACAGTTTTGATAGTTTACGTAAATTTGAGGTGTGGAAGGTATTATCTGCATCACCAGAGTTTACACCTTTGTTGCTACTGTTACCATTGTAATTGCAGCTCCTGATGATGATGGCAAAGTCCATTGAAAGCTAGAGAGAATTAAAAAAAGTATAAAGAGTCCTCTTTGCTTAAATCTTGTCGAAGTACCCAACAAAAAGCGGAAAAAATATATATATATATATATAACTTGAGACGTGGTCATTGTCGTCTAGACCAGTTAGGTGAAAAATTAGAGCTTCCGCCTTTTGTTGGGTACTTCGACAAAATTTAAGCAAAGAGGACTCTTTATACTTTTTTTAATTCTCTCTAGCTTTCAATGGACTTTGCCATCATCATCAGGAGCTGCAATTACAATGATAACAGTAGCAACAAAAGTGTAAAATGAATTTAAATTGAATCAACTTACAGTAGTATGTGAGGATGTTGTTAATTGTTGTTTTCGTATAGGATGAGGGAAACGTCCAGTAACATGGTGAGAGCTGGATACATGGTACAATGGTTAAAATTATATAAAATATGACAAGACAAGTTAAAGACAGATTAAAAATTATTTAGAAGACATTAGAGCATTACGTCGTGAAGCCACTTGATGATTGCACAAAATGGTGGTCATGGAATAATGAGTGAGATGAACCTTTGACAGAAGGCCGAAGGTTGTCAATGTCTGTGTTGAAAGATGGAACGAATTGTGGGCGTGTGCCAAAACGTTGCCAAATCACTTCAGATGATGTGATTTTCAGAATGTTATGTAAGAAATTGTTAAACCGACCAGAGGCAGTTGAATAAAATATATTTTAATTAATGGGAATCTTAAATTAATAATTATTAATAAATCGTGAGAAGAGAATTATTAGATTTTGAGTGGAATGAAATTTGTTGGTGGAATCGGTCAAAACACAGATTATATTTATGGTTGTGAAAAGTCGAAATTTGGGGAGATATATATATAGGTGAAAAATTAAAGCTTCCGCCTTTTGTTGGGTACTTCGACAAAATTTAAGCAAAGAGGACTCTTTATACCTTTTTTTCAATTCTCTCTAGCTTTCAATGGACTTTGCCATCATCATCAGGAGCTGCAATTACAATGATAACAGTAGCAACAATAGTGTAAAATGAATTTAAATTAACCTAACTTACAGTAGTATGTGAGGATGTTGCTAATTGTTGTTTACGTTTAGGATGAGGGAAACGCCCAGTAACATGGTGAAAGCTGGATAGATGGTACAATGGTCAAAATTATATAAAATATACACAATTGTGTGACAAGAACAAGTTAAAGACAGATTAAAAATTATTTAAAAAATTAGAGCATTACATCGTGAAGCCACCTGATGATTGCACCACCAAAGTTATAGCCCTTTAGAAGTTTGAGTACCGCCCTGTCTCAATAATAATATTATGTGCTCGTGTTTGGTAACAACTGATATCGGTTCATCGCATCGGAAACAAAAAAGCGAAAGAATTTGAAACGTTTATCACGATGTTTTTCATCAGTCGGTAACGCGTGAGTGAATAGTGGTGTTTGTTGCGTGACTCAAACGAAATGAAAAATGGCACATGTTTACGAAAATGCTGAACTTGTGGACATGATTCTTATTTACGGGGGGACAGTCTTTACAAAATGCTGCCGGATGCATCACGGATTTATGCGAATCGGTTTCCCAATCGAGTGCAACCAACCCCTCGTGCCTTTGTTAATGTAGTACAAAGGGCTCGTGAATCAGGTGACTTAAGACCTCACAGGTGAGCGCATGCCGGTGCTCCAAGACCGCACGATCAAATACAGATCCGCACTGAAATACTTGTCGGGAGGATATTTTATAAAACAAGGTATGATGAAGATAAACCAAAATATGTGTGTAAAAATAAAAAAAAAAATAAAAAAAAAATGTTACCTTGTTTTATAAAGTATCCTCCCGACAAGTACTTCAGTGCGGACCTGTATTTGATCGTGCGGTCTTGGAGCACCGGCATGCTCTCCCCTGTGAGGTCTTATGTCACCTGATTCACGAGCCCTTTGTACTACATTAATAAAGGCACGAGGGGTTGGTTGCACTCGATTGGGAAACCGATCCGCATAAATCCGTGATGCCGCGTAAATAGGAATCATGTCCACAAGTTCAGCATTTTCGTAAACATGTGCCATTTTTGATTTCGTTTGAGCCACGCAACATACACCACTATTCACTCACGCGTTACCGACTGACACTGACTGTATACAACTGAATAAAATAATTGTAAAAACATCGTTTCAAATTCTTTCGCTTTTTTGTTTCCGATGCGATGAACCGATAAGGCGGATTATATCCGTTGTTGCCAAACACGATCACATAATATTATTATTGAGACAGGGTGGTACTCAAACTTCCAAAGGGCTATAACTTTGTTACTTTAATTTTACCAGAAAAATGGTAAAGGAAAAAACATTTCTTTTGATCAGATCTACTCACTGTTAAAATAAATGACTCAACTTCGAAGTCACATAATGCTCCTCAAAAGGCGGAGTCTAGAAAAAACTATCCTAGTCAACCCTTTGATTATGCTTTTCGAATATTGAAGACCACACAGGCTCTAACTTTTAGTTAGTATTCTAGTTTTACTGATATGTAAAAGTAAGTGCAGAGATCGATGATTGTTTTTTACTTCCTACGCCTACTGGCGACTAATCGCGAACATCTTGGAAAATGTGATATTATGTTCTTTCTATGTTATATGACATGACATCACGGAAAACCATGAAGTACCATTCGGATTTCAATGAAATGTTTGCACAATGTTACTTTTATGCCATTAATGTTATAAAATGATAAATATTGTCACGAATGCTAAGGAACATAAAAAAGCAGAGCAAACACCATATTTTAACTGTCTTATCAAAGTTTCATAGCAAGAGGACCCCAGATTTCAGGAAGACAATTTCAATCCGACGCTTAAATTTTAAATTGGTTGTGCGGGTCTGATTGTCCAGCAAGCTATTTTTGCGCAGGCCATCCCGTCCTCTCAAATGGCTTGTTACTTGGAACTTTATGGATGTATTTTCGAGAGGACGACATTGCTTACTGCTGCAACTGTAATAAATTCCACTCGATATCTACCAGCACTTCCTTCGAAGTTTTCCTGATGGAGCAATCCACTTCAACTGCTTGGGAGTTTTTATGATCATCTCATGTAAACACAGCTATAATAATAGCAATCCTTGAAGGTCAAGTTGGTCATGCAAATCCAAGTTTAATCAAAAGGATCAATATTATCACCAACGGCCAAATGCATATGCGCCCTAGTCCTTATTATATCTTTGACTTGACGGTCTTTGCTTACTGTAAGATATGGGTGAATTGGAAAATATTTTTTTCCCGGGAAGAAGGCGACTTTGTTCGTTCTGAGGTTTTTTTTGTCGAAAGACTAGCACTTCCTTCGAAGTTTTTCTGCTGGAGCTATCTAGCTAGGGATGTAACGGGTAGTAATTTCCGGGAACCGGCCAAACCGGGTACCCGGCTCTTTAGGATCCGGCTTCATGCCGGGTACCCGGCCCACCGGGTTTAACCTGTTTCCTGCTTGCACGATCTCGGATTTCCCACTACTTAAACTCAAAGCATTCAAATTGAAAATGAATTTTTTTACACTTTTGCGAAACTGTTGTCAAAGATTAGAATACGTAATCTTTTTTAGTTAAAGCGTTGGCAACTCTGCGAAAACCAGCTTGCCGTAGAACAAATGCACGGAGTAACGTGGATGTTTTGGGGGAAGACCCGACGTTGTCGCGTGAATCCCCGCGCCGAGAACAGGTGTATTGTTCTGTGGGTGTATTATTGACTATTACGTTTTCACCCTAGTTACTTACTATCGAGCTTACTAGTATATTGTTTAAGGTGAAAGTTAAAAGTGTTACTAGAGAGTTAACGAGCGAGATTAGCCAATTTAAAAATGAACAACGTGTGGGAACATTTTATAATTGATAATGAAGATGAATCAAAAGCAGTGTGTGGATTATATGGCACAAACATTCTTCGCGGTCTTGGAAAAAAAGCGAGTACATCTTTGTGGAAACACGTAAAATATAAGCATCCACTTACATTAAAGGATCAAAGTAAAATCGAAAATAAGCAATGTTCACGTTCAGAATCTTCAGGAGAATTGAGACAAATTAAAATTACTGAGAGCTTCGAAAGACAATGGGACATAAATGATTCAAGAGCAAAAAGAATACACCGGGCTATACGAGAAATGATCGTTCTTGATAACCAACCTTTTTCTGTTGTGGAGAATAAAGGTAAAATGAAAGTAGCTACTTATTATTATTAATATTATTAATTATTTTTATATGATATTTGCACTTAAATTTTAAGTAACGAAAAAAGGTTTCTCGTCGACAACTTTTTTTGCAATATGGTTTGTTTTCCGTGTCATTTTATTTTAAACGTATATAGCTACACAACGAGTTGCTGTACTTTTTAAGTTGCCATATAAACTTATCGCGAATAAATTTTTAGGATTCAAGAGATTGTTTGCTGTCCTGGAACGAAAGTATAGTATACCCAGTCGGCCATATTTCAGCAAAACTGTCATTCCTGAGATATACGAAAAGTGATAAAGTAGAGTAGCTGAAATGTTAGCAGATGCAAGATTTATTTCCTTCACAACAGACATGTGGACTTCTGGTGTGAACAATAAGGGCTTTATAAGTTTAACTGGACATTGGGTTTCCAGAAATTTTGAACAAAACATTATGTGCTAAGTATTCGTGGTCTGGATGGCAGTCATACTGGTGAAAATATAAAAAATGTTTTACTAGAATTGTTAAGAAATAATAACATAGAAGTGGGCAGAGTTCACTTGGTTCTTCGAGATAGCGGTGGTAATATTAAGAAGGCTACAAAAGATATGGGAGTCAATAATGAATGCTGTTTTATACATACTCAGCAGCTTGTAGTAGTTAACTCTCTTAAAGAGCAAACATCCCTTATGGAAATTGTATCTATTGCAAGAAAAATAGTGACTCATATAAACCATTCCTCTCCATCTCGAATAAAATTAGAAGAAATTCAGAAAGACGTCAACCTACTTATCAAAAAAATGGTTCAAGATGTTCAAACACGTTGGAATTCCACGTATTATCTATTAGAAAGACTTATCGAGCAGCGAAAGGCTATTAACTTGCTTGCCACGTAAGTTGATGCGGTTCCCTCTTTGACACCAAGTCAGTGGGATTCGTTGGAAAAGCTTTTACGACTTTTACAACCATTTGAGCAAACTACCAAACATTTTAGCAGAGAATTACGTATAATATCAGAAGTGATTCCTACAGTTTTGTCATTAAGAAGGTTTTTAACGGAAATTAAGATTTCTTGACTAGAAAATTTACAGCAAAGTTTGCTAGAAAATTTGACTAAACTAAAATATTATCACCAACGGCCAAAAGCATAGTCGCTCTAGTCCTTATCATATCTTTGACCTGACGGTCTTTGCTTACTGTAAGATATGGGTGGATTGGCAAATATTTTTTCTCCAGGGAGAAGGTGTCTGTCCGACCTGAGACCTTCTTATTGGTTTGCTGGGCGTTGTATTGAAATATTTCCTATTTCACCACTTCCTTCACGAAACGCAGGCGCTACCCACTTTAGCTCTCATAGCTGTAGTAAGCGCAATCTGCGTAAAGCTTAAAATTCAGAATCGATAATGGGGTATCAAAAACCGCCACCGTCTCTCCTTCTGCCAAATGTAAATGCAAATATAAAGGCTCAATAAACGACTCCACGTTCGGGCTTGATGCTTGGCGAGATAGTTTGCTTTTAGAAATACGTATTCTTAATGTAGCCATTTAACAAGATGCACCTCTATTTGAAAGCGTCTAGATCTCGAAGACGAGAAAGCAAAAAAGTTGTTTATCCTGCCTTAGAGGGAAACCAGAACTTCTCCCGCCTTTCAAGATAAACTGTCGTAATCCATTAAAGCAACCTAATTTGCAGCCTCTTTCGTCAGCCTTAAATAAAAAATCATATTTCAACTTTCAGTCTTGACTTCGCTTTAAGTAATAAGTAGCTTGAATAGTACCTTACAGAATCTGTAGAATAGAGATTGCATTAAAATAAAATAAAGAAATAAAAAACTAAACGCTTCTGCGGGTAGATTAATGAATGAACAAAGGTTCAAACATGGATAAACTAGAATTTGTTTGCTTCTCGTCTCTGTAATTATGACCAACCGCACACTACGTTGTTTCGTGACTATTAGCAATCATCAGTTGGGTAGAACAAGCGGGTACTGTCTACTGAAAAACTAAGAATTTTGTGCACAAGGAGATGACTACAATAACAACTGATGCTTATAAATAATTCGCCAAATCTTGATGCATTTTCGGCCCACAGGCTTGGAATTTATTATTAGTTTAAGAATAAATACAAGTTAATGATATTTGACAATATTACATCAAGACACAAATAATATAAAATATCACAGTAGTTGAAAACGGGCATAGCCAAAGATGAGCACAATTTTCTATTTAGTTCAAAATTAAAAAATTAAATCGGTTGCTGGTCATGACGCTGCGACGTTTTGAAGTCTAAATTATGCCTAAAGCCGCCAAAAAGTCCAGATTTAAGTTGAAACTGTTCAGGATTTTGATTGACAGCCCAGGCAAATATAAACCACATTGACAATTTTATGCTTTTACCTTAGACCATAATACCGCTTCAAAATGTGTCAGGCACATTGCAAGTTACTTAACCTCTATCCGGTGCTCAATCTTCAGGTACAATACTAAGTGACATATAAATCCGAACACCCAGTTTAAATGGTTTTATTTTAAAAAAAGTTGGTGAATGTATTTATCTTACTGTAAATAACAAGTGAAAAAATTTTCAGCCTTATCAGTTGGACATTCCGGTTTTTATACTGCTTTTTTTTAATTCACTAACGCCCTAAAAATGAATATTTCAGCGGCAGTAAAGAATCAACGTTGGCGGATTTTGGTTCTTGACATACTTTACGATCGGTTATGATGCCTACAGTACGGAGACCTGTACGATTTCGTCAACTTAGTGAGTTTGATAGGGACCGTATAGTGGGACTTCGGGAAGCTGGACTTTCTTTTCGGGCAATTGCAGTTAGAGTGCAAAGAAGTGTAAACACTGTGGTTAGGTGTTGTTAGGCATGGCTTCGAGAAGGCCGTACGCAAAGAGCAAGGGGCACTGGACGCCGCCGTAGAACAACAGACCGTGATAGATAGATAGATAGATAGATGCTTTATTGTCTTCGGATCATATAAATGATATAAGACTCGTCAGGCATATCTCTATGAGTACATTATTATCTACAAAAATTAAAAATATAGTTAAGTATAAATACATAAATTTGTCGGTTAAAAATGGAAAGAAACACAGTTTAGTCGAGAAAAACAACAGATACAATAATAATAAACAGAACAAGGTGTAAAAGAAGTGAGTACAATAAAAATAGAAAAAAAATAATAGGTACGCATATACGAATAAATATATGCACACATATATACACATACATAATACATATATACATATATACATATATATATAGACACACATACATATACATACAATATATATATATATATATATATATATATATATACAGCCATAGTTTCCTATTTAATTTTTTGGTGCATCACTCTTACCCTGACTAAACTCGGCTATTGAGTAGTAGCATATTTCTATTAACAGACTCCTCAGCTCTTTCTTGAACCTATTTGAGGATCTAATATCTTTTAGTATTGATGGCAAGTTATTGAATACCTTGGTGCAGGCGTAGGCTGGTGATTTTTCGAACATTGACAGTGTATGCGAAGGTATAATCAAGTCCTGTTTCGCTCTACTGTTATAGTTCGTGTTTAAGTACTTGTTCTGCAGAAACTGGCCCCTGTGATTGAAGATGTAGAGGGCGCATTTATAAATATATATACTCGGAAGCGTTAGCAAGTTATTATGCTGAAATATTGCTCTACATGATTCTCTCCTTTTAATGTTAAATATCAGCCTTACAATACGTTTCTGCAAAATAAACACTCTGGACGCGGTGCATGCTTGTCCCCAGACGATGGTGTGATTTGACAGATGCGAATACACCATTGCGTAGTACACATCTATCAGCGTTGATTTGGGGACATTTGGCTTTAATTTCAATATCGCATAGTAGGACCTATTGATTTTCCTGCATACACTGTCAACTTGTTGCTTCCAATTTAGTCCTGCATCCAACTCAATACCCAGGAAGGTCGTAGAGACTGAGATAGTTCTGTTAATGAGACGTGGAGTACTAGAGTAAAAGTGAACAACTACTGTCTTGTCAGCATTCAAGATCATACGATTTGTTTGGCACCACTCTTCCATCTCAGATTTTATGATTCCAATGTTAAGGTACAGATCTTCAGGCGAAATCTGCAGTTACTACAGCCGATGTGTCATCAGCATAGTTCACTACTGCACCTGAGAGCTTCAGATCGTTTATAAATATGATGAAAAGAAGTGGTGAGAATACAGATCCCTGAGCTGCACCTATGTTCATTTTATAGGTAGCTGACTGCGCATCGTTCATTTTTACTCTAAGTTCTCTGTCTGTCAGGAAAGACACTAGCCAGTCCAGCAAGAAGTCTCTAATACCCATATTGAAAAGTTTCTCCCTTAGCAAATCTACATTAATGATATCAAACGCTTTGGCCAAGTCGAAAAATATTCCAGCAACTAGATGACCCAAGTCTATTGCTCGGTATATGTGGTTAATAAACTCAAAAGACGCTGTCTCAATCGAGCGTGATTTCCTGAACCCATGTTGGTTATTGGAGATGATGTTGTATGTTTCAGTATAGCTAGCTATGCGCGCGTGCAGTACTTTCTCAAATATCTTTGAAAAAACTGACAGAAGAGATATTGGACGATAGTTTTCGACTTGAGAGGGATCTCCCTTTTTCAATATAGGTACCACAATGGCCAATTTAAGATTTTTAGGAAATTTACCTTGATGCACCGACATGTTTATGAGCACAGCTAGTGGACCTGCAATTTGATGACTCACACTTTTAACTATTCTTGTTGACACACCATCACTTCCACACGACTTATTATTTCGAAGGTTGTTTATCACATTGGTCACTTCATCTTCGGTAGTTTCGCTGTAGAACATTGACTGAGCTAGTGAGGTTGTTGACAGACTTGTTGTTCTGGGCTGTCCTCCAAAGTGTACATGGAGCTTCTTCTCTGCTACTGTAGAAAAATACCTACCAAATGCGTCGGATGTACCTTCGCTTCGCAGATCTCCAACGGATTCTATATTTAAGATTATTTGATTAGTACAGCTGCTTCGTCCTAGTTCTTTGTTTACAATTTCCCATACCTTCTTCGATTTCGTGAAGATCGCCGCCTAAGATTATTGGCCTTAAGGGACCGTTTCTCCACTACCAGGTCCATTGCAAATGAATGGTTTGCAGAACACGGAAGACCTATGGCATGCGAAGTGTTTACCGACGAATGAGAAGCTTTGGCTTGTTTTCATACCGGCCACACTGGGTCCTCCCTTTAACTCGAGAACACCGACGTAATCGTCTTGAGTGGTGCAGACAACGGTCACTCTGGGATCAGGAATGGAACAGTATTGTCTTTAGTGACGAGTCTCGATTTTGTTTAGGCATGCACGATGGTCGTGCCAGGGCTAGAAGGCGACGTGGTGAAAGGAGGAATCCACAGTTTTTTTGAAAGACATGTTCATCACACTGTTCATCAGAGGTAACATGAACGCGCAGCGTTATATCCACGAAGTTCTAGAACCCCATCTTTTACCCTATCTTGACACCCTGGCAGATCCAACTTTCCAACAAGATAATGTCCGACCACATGTTGCAAGAGTCACAATAGACTTTTTTCAACATAATGATGTCACATTGTTACCATGGCCACCAAGATCTCCCGACTTATCCCCAATTGAGCACGTGTGGGATATGATGGGTAGGAGATTGCTCAATTTGCAACGTCCTCCTCAGGCTCTAGAAGCACTTCGAGAGGAGTTGGTGGTTGCCTGGAATGAGATACCACAGGAGGACATTGACCACCTGATCAGAAGCATGCCTAGACGCGTTGGAGAATGCGTAGCACATCAGGGTGCATCCACTCATTATTAAAGGTCAAAGGGCTTTGAAGCAGTGCAATCATTTTGAAATTTTTATCATTTACTTATTATGCTTCATTAAGTACTTATACAAAATTTTATTAAAATAAAACCATTTAAACTGGGTGTTGGGATTTATATGTCACTTAGTATATCATCAATAGGTTGAGCATATATTTTCTTGTGCCATAACTAGATACTCTGGATTAGGATAGGTTTCAAATAGAGAGTTGCTTCTATAGTTCAAGAGCTCCGTTGTCTCAAAAAATACAAAGATTGGCACATTGATCTTATAACATGCTTTTTTTGTAGGCAGAGCCTCAAAAAACTTAAAAAAAAGGAAATCAATTAAAAGCTTTCCGGGATGCTTTTAAACATCGCGTGTATGCCTGCCGGACATTTTAGAATTTTTTTCTACTTCCCTTAGGGTACCGACGTGGAAAAACAGCATAAATCTGGCTCGTTCGTTATGCTTTCTACATTGTCTGTACCCTTCTGCGTAACCCGTATTTCCCAGGGGGCGATATCCCTTTTTCGGCAGATCACCGAGGGACGGACGGATTCACCCGCAACCGTTTATAAGCGATAGAGATGGTTGTATTTTGAACAAAAAGATGGGATTTTTCACTCCCTGCTTGTCAAGTATTGAACGGTAGGGCAATAAAAAATTGAAGTAATAAAGCACAGCAGCTTGTTGTATGTAGCGGATGTTCCAAGATGTCTTTCCTTGAAAACAGTTTTCAAAATTGTTGAACGTTACTAGGTTGATTCAGGTTTGGGGAGTGCTTGAAAGTATCATGTATGGATATACAGCCTACAAAACTTGTTCTTTATGAAACCTGTAGATAAAACAACTATCTAGAAGTATTTTATGGAAAAAAATGAACAAAGTATCACCTTATCGGTACATGCAGCTACACTTTTATACAGGGTGTTTCAGTTTAATGTTGCATAACTTTAAGATTCGATAGAACTTTTAAAATAAATGCATAAAGTCTATATAAACATGGGTCGAAAAATACGTGGCTTCCGAAATTTTTTAAAATTTAAAATTTACTTTCTAAAATAGTTTTTTTTAAATATTTCGAACAATATTTGATGTATAATAGTGAAAATTGGTATACAAGGGTTTTTTGGTACGACAAAACGAACCATGATCATAGTTTTACTGCAGCCGCTAGAGGGCGCTCTCTGCTGTACCTGTAGTGTATTAAAATGACTGAAAATTTTTTCTTAGTGCAATTTTTTGCTTTTTGAACAAAAAAACTGATTCTTTGCATTTTTTAACATAAAAAGTTTTCTTGTGAATTTTCGTTATAGTTAGCCGTTTTTGAGATATTTCGACTTTTAAGGTTCGATGCATTTTTAATTATTTATGATAAAATAACGTTAAAAAGTCAGTATATCTATAATTTTTAGAAGTAGGCTGTGCCTGCAAATATTTTTGAAATTGAAAGCAGAATAAGGTTAAACGTCAATTAGTTGACAGTTAGTTTTGTTGTCTGTTGAAACCTGAAACGTTTTTTTGCAATTGTGAATGCACGAAATTTAGTTTCTTTTACCTGTTTTAATTTTTTTGTAAGTTTTATAAAAATGCAATTTTTATTCTCCAATCAAGAGTTAGCGGATATTCATTTTGTGTATGGCTTTGTAAATGGAAACGCAGCAGAAGCAGCCAGAGAATACGCACGAAGATTTCCAAACAGACGTCATCCAACTCGCTCAGTATTTGTAAGAGTGCATCGCCAAATAATTGAAAATGGTTTTGGAAATCTCCAAAGGGATCAAAACATAAATGTTCGTCAGCGCAGGTTTATCCGTATGATTCTGCGTGAGTTTGATAGAGATCCGACCACAAGTGTTAGGAGAGTTTTTGGTTGGTGCCTTGGGAATTTCAGCAAGCCATGTTCACCATGTTTTTAGAAATGACCATAGACGTACTTACCATTTGCAACCTGTGCAAGGACTACAGCCGGGGGACCGAGAACGAAGAATCACATTTTGTCAGTGGATTCTTGATAGAACTGATAATAATAGGGAGTTTTTAAGTAACGTTTTATGGATCGATGAGTCATGCTTCACTAGACACGAAGTGGTAAATTTGCATAATCAACATATTTGGTCGCATGAAAATCCGCATGCAGTTCGACAAAGAAATTTTCAGCATGAATTTAGTGTGAACGTGTGGATTGGTATCTACCGTAATCGACTATTTAGAGTTAGACCCTACCTTTTGCCTGCAAGGTTAAATGCTGCGACCTTCTTGGAATTTTTAAAGGCTGAACATGCAAATATGTGGGATGATGTTATGTTAGATTTAAGAAGATTGGCATGGTTCCAGCTTGATGGTTGTCTAGCTCATTATTCGAGAATAGTTAGAAACTGGCTGGACGAAAATTATCCAGAAAGATGGATCGGCCGTGGAGGACCAGTCGCCTGGCCTCCACGATCTCCTGACCTAAATCCATTAGATTTCTTTGTGTGGGGATTTCTAAAAGAAAAAGTGTACCAGACTCCCGTAACCACAAGAGATATGCTAATATACAGAATCAGGAATGCATATGATGAAATAAGGCCTTATTTGAATAATGCTATACCACGTTCGATCATTCGAAGATGTGAATTGAACAATTGGGTTTACATTTCGAGCAACTACTTTAGATTTTGTATGTTTGTCCTAACTATCCAATAGCATCCAATATTCAAATAATTTGTTAAAAATAGTATTGGAAAATTAAACAAATTAATATTCTGTTTTTTTGTGTTTATTTGGAGTTAGGAATTATTGCTGTGTTTAAAACACAATCTAAACGATCATCTTAATTACTTGTAATGCCCAAATCGAAAATGTCAAAAAAATATTATTTTCCCATAAATAATTAAAAATGCATCGAATCTTAAAAATCGAAATATCTCAAAAACGGCTAACTATAACGAAAACTCACAGGAGAGCTTTTTTATGTTGAAATCAGCTTTTTTATTCAAAAAGCAAAAAATTGCACTAAGAAAAAATTTTCGGTCATTTTAATACACTACAGGTACACTAGAGAGTGCCCTCTAGCGGCTATAGTAAAACTATGCCCATGGTTCATTTTGTCGTACCAAAAACCCTTGTATACCAATTTTCACTGTTATACATCAAATATTGTTCGAAATATTTAAAAAAATACTATTTTACAAAGTAAATTTAAACACCCTGTATTTCGGAAGCCACGCATTTTTCGACCCATGTTTATATAGACTTTATGCATTAATTTTAAAAGTTCTATCGAATCTTAAAGTTATGCAACAATAAACTGAAACACCCTGTATAGGTAAGTTTTTATTGGGCGATTATAAAGCTGGTTTTCGCAAGGGAAGATCGATAACTGATCAATTTTTTTTCTCGAACGAAGTTCTTACCACCTGCTACAAATATAAAATAGCAGCAATCATACTATTTATTGACTTCCAAAAAGCCTACGATACGATCAAAAGGAGTGCAGTATTTCATACAACGAATAATTTTGCTATACCTGGAAAACTCATAAACTTCACAAGAATGGCGATGAGACAAACAAGAAGTATGGTCAAGATAAGAGGAGAATTGACAGAATTAATGCAGGACTCAGACAGGGGGACCCATTATCTACACTTTTATTTAATATGATCCTAGAAAGAAGAAGTATATTATTTAAAAGTCACCAACTAACTGCCTATCCTGATGATGTCGCCGTAGTAGCTAGGGATAAAAGGACAATGGAAAAAGTGGTAGAGCAGCTTATACAAGTTGCAGCAAAAAAGGGATTGAAGATAAACGAGGAAAAAAGTAAATTTATGAGAATAGGGACGTGTCAGGCGGAAACGAGGCTAGAAATAACGGTAAGCACAGAAAAAAATATGTTTGAGGAGGTGGATGAGTTTGTCTATTTAGGATCTCTAATTAGTAATAAAATAGATGAGGAAACAGGAGTAAACTACAGAATCGGTAAGACCAATAAATGTGCGGGAATGCTTAACAGAAATATTAAGTCAAGAAATGTATCTAGAGTCTCCAAAAAAGGCTATAGAATACGATCATCAAGCCAACCCTTTTGTACGGAGTAGCAGCCTGGGGAATTAATAAAGAACTTGAACAAACATTACTTATGTGGGAGAGGGAAATTTTAAGGAGAATATATGGAGGGATCCAGGTGGAGGAAGGGTATGTTAGGAGGTGTAATGCTGAAATATATTATCTATATAATGAACGAAACATAATAGAAGTTGCTGAGACCAGAAGATTGCAGAGGCTGGGGCACCTGGAAAGAATGCCGCAAGAAAGACCAGTGAAGCATATAGCATGGAGAGTTCTGAATACCAAGAAGAGAAAAGGGAGACGGAGAGGAAGATGGAAGGATGCGGTTATGGAAGATTTGAGGAGCAGGAATATCAGAGACCGGAAGAAACCAGCACTAGTTAAGAAGTGGTCGAATAAACTTATCAAGCTTAGGGCCTAAAGGCCTGTTTTATAGCTGTATATATATATATATATATATATAAGTTTTTGTTATTTGGGAGGTCAGTAAAAAGCCTGACTTCACCTTAAGTTTGTCGTGGTACTTATTGGATACTCTGTATATATATAATTAGTAGTATTTAAACTTTTATTTATTATACGGTTGTGGTTGCAACGTCGATCAATACACATTTATGTGGTTTGATTCGGTTAGACAATGGAATCCTATAAAACTAACTCCGAAAAAAGTACCTCTTTATTAGGGGTTCGCGGGAACTATCCCAAAACTGTCCGGATTATGACAGTGGCCTTAAAAACTATAGCACACGATCAGAACGGTTCTGAGATACTTATTTTTAGAATCCGAATAAGACTAAAATGGCAATCAAAGTAAGGGTAAGTACAATTTTTTTGAGTATTTTGGAGACACCGAATTTTTTTTGTCATCGATTGTTTTCAAGGTATGTTTCTCAAACTCATATTAGCCAGTATTCAAATGCCAATAATATAGTTCCGTCGAGATAGGATCTCTAAAAAATGTAAAGTTACATTTACGGTCATAATTTCGTTTACGCTTTCGTTTATCATTTAGTAACTGCGCACAAAGTCGCCGATCGAGCTTCTTTGCCTAACAGTGGTTATAAGAGCTTTTCCTTGTCAAAAAAGTAGGACATGAAATATTGGATATGGGTTGTCTTGCGTGCCTGTTTGAGCCAGTTTACATTAGGTCTGTGCTGGTTTCCATTGACGTTTGGTCCGCAGAATACAGTAACTTTGACAATGCTAGTGGACATGGCATCAAAGTTAAGTTAGGTTTCTTGTGAGTGCACCACTAACGATCCTCCACTGCGACTCTTTGGTCTATTGTGGCTCACACCTATTTATATTTCCCCTAGTAGCTCCGACCTCCTGAGGAAGTCGATCAACTTGTTTGGAGTAATAGAGCTTTCACGTCTTCTGCTTGAAGTCTCCAAGTATGTTGTACCTGATTCTGGCAATAATTGCAGGGCATCTGCACCATAGATGCCTGACCGTTTCATCTCCCTATATGCACAGTCTGAACTCAGCGTCTTCCGCCATGCCCAGCCTGCTCATGTGGTGACGCAATCTGAAATGACTAGTGTACAGTCCTACTAGAGCTTTGAGGCTATTCCTGTTCAGCCATAGTAAAGAGTCTGTTATCTTCTTTGTCAAGATTGGTATAGTTGCCTTAGCATGGGTTAATCCTGATAACTCCTCCCAGTATTCATGGATCTTTCTGTCCATCATCTATGAAGGGTGTGCTAGCCCCACTCTTTGCCAGAGTGTCAGCTGTCTCGTTTGCCTCTAAACTGAATCCAAATTCAAGATGAGATGTAAATAATAACAGTTAGCGCGTGATCTCTCGGTAACAGGTGGGTACAACACCTCTTATTGGTCAATTCGCCATTAAATTTCAAGCGGTCGCTTGGCGGAATAATGCGCGGGGCAGGGGCAGGGCAGGCAGAGTTGCATTCAGGCCACCGACCGTCGCATGTATCACTGCGTGCTCGTGTTTTCGTATTCACCTTGCTTGGTTGTTGCTGTTGTTGTTGTTAAGTATATTTGAGTAATTTGTTAAGTTTCTGTTTGTTATTGTTATTCCTCGTTATTATTTATTTTGAACCAATCCTGAACATGTCCAGTACAGATACTGCTGACGAGGCTCTAGGCTACTCCCTTAGCCCTCCTAGAAAGCGATCAAAAAAAAGATATCTTAGCGTAGACATGAAAGACGTCATATTGAATACATTCAAGATAGAGCGGAAGGAAGACGAAACATCAACTAACCCGAAAATAGCTCTGAAAGTGGCAGATAAAATTGGGGTATGCCAAGCGACAGTTCACAATATTTTGAACGAACATAAGAAAAAGCATGCCTTTTCCAAGCCAATGACGGGTAAAAATCGCAAAAGTATCATAAGATGGTTTGATGACGCTGACAAGCATACTATTCGGAGGAAAGTGCAGGAGTTCTTCTTCAGAAACGAAATACCGACAGTTGATAAAGTACTACGGGAGGTTAACGAGGATGCTATGTTACCAAATTTCAAACGTTCGACTATTCATAAACTTTTGAAGCATCTTAATTTTGAATGGAAGAAACGAGGTCGTAACAGCTTACTTATCGATAGAGAAGAAAATGTTCTGTGGAGGAGAGAGTACCTGACCAAAATTAAATCATTCAGGGATCAGCACACGAAGATCTATTACCTGGACGAAACCTGGATTAACGCTAGGCACACTACTCCGAAGGTATGGGTTGACAAAACTGTGACTTCATCCAGAAGGGCATTTCTAGATGGACTGTCGACCGGATTGAGAAATCCAGCAGGTAAATAGATCGAAATAGTTCACGGTATCAAGTTTTGCGCACAATATCTCTCTATCTTCGTACCTACAAGACGTGCATGTGTACTTAGCGGATTTTATCTTTCTAGGCAAAGGAAAAAAGCTCATTATTTGCCACATTGGGAGTGTAGATGGCTTCGTGGATGACGACTTATGGTCTTTTGAGTCAAAAAAAAACCACTGACTACCATGAAGAGATGAATGGGGAAGCATTCGAGAAGTGGTTTTCAGGCATTTTACCACGTCTCGCAGACAATTCTGTGGTTGTTTTGGATAATGCTCCCTATCATTCTCGCAAAATAGGGTAAATCCCAAGTTCAGCTTCTAGGAGATCAGACATTCAGAGCTGGCTCCGTTCCAAAAATATAACTTTCGACCCTTCCTTACTGAAATTACAACTATTAGATATTGTGAAACAACACAGACCAAGAGATGATAAATATGTCATAGATGATATGGCCAAAGCACACCACAAAACAGTACTCCGTTTGCCGCCTTACCACTGTGAGCTCAACCCCATTGAGCTCATATGGGCAGATGTTAAGAATTTTGTTGCTGCACGCAATATAAAAATTAAATTTTCTGACATGCAAGAGCTGTTCAGAATTGTTATACACACACCAGAAAGATGGCAAAAATGTGTGCAACATGTTCAGGAGAAAGTGGAGGTAGCAATGTGGGAGCTGGACAACATAATTGAGAGAAATTTTGAATCCATCATCATAAACATTAATGACGCTCTTCAAGTGAGTCTGAGTAAGTTTCGCGTTTTTGTTTTGTCACAGAATACATATTATGGGAATCCTAGTTATAGTGAAATATTAACTTACAGATAAACTACAGACAATGCAAGTCCGAAGTGCACCTTCAAAATCTATTTTCAATTGATTGGACAGCCATATATTTATTCCATATACAAAAGTGTCATCTCTACCCCTCGTTGACTACGGATTCATTGTGCATAGTGAGCAGCTGTTACCTCTGGTAAGTATTCCTCCATGTTGTCTAGTTTGAAGAATCTGTAGAAAAACTTAGCACCCCTTCAAGAATAAAAATTTGATTTTGCGACACCCTTAACTATAACTACTTCACTATATTAGATCATTTCGTTAAATACTGTCATCTTTGTTTTACAACACGTGGGTGGTAGTCCATCATTCGGAGGTAGCCCTGAATGCGGCCCTGTACGCCGTCCTTGCTTTTGGCAATCACGCATCCATTCTGTCATGGGTGTAAATACACTATAGACATGTGTGTCCTGGTATCCATATGAGAAGGACTTCATTTCCCCTATGCCACCGACAGCTTCTTTGCAATTCCGCACTAATTTCGATGTCGAGTAGGTGGAGGCAAGTGCTTTAAGTGCGGATTGACTATTTGAAAAATAATTATATATAGTAGTATATATAGTATATACAGGGTGTTCCATAATTATTGCGACAAAATGATAGGGGTTGTAGAGGGCATCAAAATGAACAATTTTGCCTTATAAACCCCTGTTCGGAAATATGCCGTTTGGGATGCAGCAAAAAAAAAGATCAGTTTCTTGAAACAGCTTACCTACAGTAATTGCTCAAAGTGTCCTCCACCTTGCTCAATACACAGCTGTGCACGATTGTTCAATGATCGGCGAACTCTGTGGCATACCCCCGGTTTGTCCTGAACATGTGCGGACGCGGCCATCACTCTTCCCAGTAGCTCTTGTTGGTTGGGAACAGTAGTTTCGTACACTAAAGCTTTCAGATGGCCCCAGAGAAAATAATCCAGTGGGGTCAGGTCGGGTGACCGCGCAGGCCAAGGCACAGGGCCACCTCGGCCTATCCACCTATTTGTCGTCCAAATACTGCCGCACTTGTAAAGAAAAGTGGGCTGGAGCGCCATCGTGTTGAAACCACGTGTTGGCTCTTATGTTCAGTGGCACATTTTCTAATAGTTCCGGTAGCACATGCTGTAAGAATCGACCATAAGCATGCCCATCCAAACGTGGTGGAAGCAAATATGGCCCGATGATATGCTCGTCCACAATGCCGCACCAGATGTTAATTGAAAACTATGTTGGTCTCTATGGATGGCTATGGCATGAGGGTTTTCTTCATCCCAAATGTGACTGTTACGGCTATTAAAATAACCGTCCTTTGTGAAACAGGACTCGTCAGTGAACAAAACGTAGCGACCAAAGTTTGGTTGCCTCAACTCCTGCTGCAGCCACCAACGACAAAAACGTCGACGCGGCAGATAGTTTTCTGGACCCATGGCTTGGACTTTTAAAAGGTGGTATGGGTGTAGTTGCTGGTCATGGAGAACCCGCCAAGCAGTAGTTTGAGACGCTCCCATTTCATGTGCAATAGCACGCACGCTTGTACGCGGATTGGCCTCTAGTTTGACGCACCACTCAGATAAATTAATTGAATCGGTGTGGAGAATTTACGATAACAAAAATGTAAACACAGCAGGCTTTTTTTTACAAATCGGCGAGACGATGAAATGTGCTAGACGAACATTTTGCAGCTGTTGAATTTTTTGTTTCTCTTAAGGTAAAATTAGCGGTAGTGCTCAAACGGCATATTTACGAACAGGGGTTTATCAGGCAAAATTGCATATTTTTATGCCCTCTACAACCCCTATCATTTTGTCGCAATAATTATGGAACACCCTGTATATATATATATAGTAGTATATATAAGTATATATAGTGCAATCATTCTGGCACCCAGTTCTGTAGCATATAGCTCTGCCTGGAAGATCGGGCATCGAAGTTACTCCACTGCCATCTACGACTACATCTCTAAATAGCATTACGAGTATTCACCGAGAGCGAAATGCATAGTGGGCGATGGTAAAAAACGACAAAATACAACTTGCTGCCTAGATAGTTCCTAGTGTGCAAATAGTACATTCCGCGTTTGCTCGCTATGAGCGCTGTGAGCGTGATCAATGGAGGAATGACTCAACGACACGACACGCTCAATGACCATGCGGCAAGTTGTAAGTCAGTTCCGCATCATGCTGTGTTGGTTGTCGAATGC